AAAGAATATGTTGCAGTCCCCATTGTATAGGGTCAGAGATGGGATTTGCTTGTTGGGCAGGGTAGTTGTGGTTAGGTTTGAGAGGGACAGAAAGCAGTTGGGATGAAGCCAGGGATGGAGTGGAAGTGTACCACATTTGGGTGTTCAGATGAGGGAAATGATGGGAGCTGTGTGGGGAGGCAAGGAAGGCATCAGTAGGATGACAATTAGGGATGGTTGTGTCCCAAGGATGGTCAGAGTAGCTGACAGCTTGGTTAAAATGTCTCCCCTAAAAAGGGAATGAGACAGGAGGGGATGAATAAGGAGTGTGGGAAAAGATGATGATGACTCAAGAGCAGATTAAGGACTATTTAAAGGTCTGGAGACATTGAAGTCAGTGTCCACAACAGTGGTCAGGGCTGGCAAGACTAGTCCTTGGAATGAAGGGATGGGTGGAATCTGTGTTGATCAGGAAAGGGATGGACCTACAGTCCACCATCAAACTTACCTGATATTTAGCATCCAAGCTATTCCAGAGCACCTCGGAAGACTTTGGGCAGCTTCAGTCTTCAATGGCCAAGCTAAGAAGGTCTGGGAAAGAGCCTGTTGGGGGTTTCTGGGGTCTGACCCAGAGGTGGCAGGGACAGCTGCCAGCATTGGGAAGCTTGACTTCCAGTGTTGATTCCTCTCCCTGGAAGATAACAGCCCAGGGGAAATCCTAGACTGTAGGCATTCCTCAGCACAGTGACTGATCTGGAGGCAAGGCTCTGGAGGGGTGTTTCTGGTTGGGTTCCCTTTTGACCAGTAAGATTGTGGTTGACTTTGGGAGATTTTTATGATGGAGGCCAGCCTCTGCAGTTTATAAATGCACTGATTTTGAGCATTTTTATTTCTTTTGTTGAATTAGTTCCTATTGTGTATTTGAAGGCCAGTCTCCAGTCACTGTAATTATTTTGTGAATGTCTAGGGCTGACTGCATAATGAAGTATATCTCAATAAGTTGTCCTTCTGTCTTTTCTGGGTCTAGTGTTGTGAATCACCTAAGGGGAGCAGGCAGGTAGGTCATAAATTGTGGAGGCAAGGAAGGCATCAGTAGGATGACAATTAGGGCATGGTTGTGTCCCAAGGATGGTCATTTTTCATCTCTGTCAGAGTGATCTCTTTAAGTTTGTCAAAGTAAATGGGCTGCCCTGTGAATTTTCTCTACTAAGTAAAAGATCATTCTGTCTCAACTGGCCATTTCCTGGGATCCTGCCTGATCTAGGATTGCCTCTCTTGGGGAACAGCCCTGGGGCCCTCAGGAAGGTCAGGCTTAAGATGCCATGGTCATCCGCATAAGTCTGGGAGTTAGAATAATACTCGCTTCCTTCATCTGGATAGAGAGTCAAGCTAGGGAATACAGTTAAGTCACCTCAAGTGAAGCTATATGACTGGGAAATGCACTGGAACTCTTGGATGCAGTGGGTGGAGTCAGAGAGGAGGAGTGGAGACACTGGATGATGTGGGAGAGGTCTGACAGGGAGAAATCAGTATGAACTTGTGCTTTTCCCTCCATTCACACACTTCATGGGGTGGGAACTGAGCAATGGCAGTCAAAGGATTGGGGCCAGGCTGCAGTCTTCACAGGGCGTGGGATGGGACGGGAATGAGCAAAGTGTGTGTAGGAGGGTTAAAGCCAGGGGGAAGTAAGTGCTGACTAGAGAGGAGGGTTAGAGTTGTAAGATTGGCAGGAGGTCTGTGGGAGGGTACTGTGGTTGCATTGGCCATGGCAGGAGGCTAGGTGGAGTGGGGGAGGTCAGTAGGGTCTGTCAGCAGAGAGGAGTTGGTGTGGGGGGCAAATGGGAGGGAAGAAAGAATTTGAGAAGTGTCATAGAATGAGCATGAGGTGGGAAAGATATAAAGTGTAGAGAATGTTTGGACGTAGGGTACTTCAGGCTGTTTGTCCAGTTTTCAGTAATAATTATGTAAGTCCCACCACATGGAAAAAGCAAAAGTTCCATTTTTCTATCATTGGGAACACAAGTTTATATTGTGGCCAAGTGGTGTTTTAAAAAATATTAGCCATTTAGGCTTCTGATCAGGGGAGAGGTAGAGAGGCTTTTGGATTTTTAGGAGACAGGCTGGGGACAGTGGAGGTGTATATAGAGGGAGAGGGTTTTCCCCCGGAGAGCAGAGAGAGCGACAACAATGTCCACAGTGGGTGTCTCCAGCTGTGAGTCAGGGCTGTAACAGAATGTGAGTGAGGTCCAAGGCAGGTGTCTCCACGACTGGTTAAACAACCAAAGAAGATTGTCTTCAGGGCTAATATTCGTGACCAGTGCTGGATTTAAGGAATGTGGAAAACAGACTGAGCCTCTCTTCTGGTCTCAGTGAGTGAGGGGAATGAAAGGAGGAGGAGGGAGAGAGGGCAGATGTAGCAGATGTAGCAGAGGAAGGGGAGGTAGTGCATAAAACTGCTCACCAGGGGTAACACAAAGAGGAATGAAGTAAGTATCCAGGCGGCTGGATAATACTGCACATTGGAATATGAAGCAAAAACACTGCTCTTGGCTCAACGCTATGTCCAGTTAAGTATCCCCCAAGGTCCAGGAGATAAAGAACACCAGCCTATGGTGCTACGGGAGCCTCTAGCATTTGGGGCTTCAAGTTGGGCCTTTGAATGGAACAGCAGGAGCCTTATGGCTCCTCTTTTCTCTTGCTTCCTGGCTGCCATGGAATGAGCAGCCTGCTCTGTCCCATGCTCCCTGCCATGACAGTCTGCCCTGCCATGAATCCAAAAGCAGCAGAGCCAACTGTGACTGTAACCATGGAACTATTAGCCAAACTCATCTAAGTGGGCAATTCTGGTGCAAGAATCAGGATGCTGATGATGAAATGTGCACCGTAAAGGGTGTGCCCCTGAAGTGAAAAAATGTAGTTTGACCCAAAAGTAGTGTTTTAAGATATAGTCAAATAAGGTACAGTGGCTCAAGAGATCAGCGTAGATAAAATGAAGCCACATACTTTGCACCAGAACAATGAGAAAGAAACCTTGAGGGCATCTCAGGAGCTCGTCACAGTCTGAAAGGTGTAAAAGTGTAGCCTTCCTTCATCTTCTTTGGAAAGAGAGCCTGAGGGGACCCCAATTTCACAGAGTTACCTAGGGGATTTTTATCCTGAGATTCATTTTCTTGCTTAAGGCAGTCAGAAGCCACTACAGCTACAGTTCAGGTGGACTCAGGTAAGGCTGATGCAGCAGCAGACCTAGTCCTTGTCCAGTGGATGCTGGTTTTGTAGGCACACAAAATCAAAGTGATAAGGAAGCATTGAAGTTTCCACCAAGATTTCAAAGAAACTCTGAGGCCAGGCAGTGTGGCAGGGTTTGGTTTCTGAAAGCAGCCTGACAGAAGGATATTTGAAGCTATACAAAAAGAAAGATATCCTGGGAAGCTGGAGTTGCCAGAGATGTGGAACAAAGGGCAGTGAGCACAGCTGGCCCCAAAGACAAGCCTTGGATGCTGGAACCAGCAAGACCATAGAATTAGAGGCACCTTTGCCCTTGGGATCCCACATCCAGCCACTCTGTATAAATGGAAAAGAGAACTACAGGATTTAGTGTTTTCTCTGCTGGTTTCAGTCTCGCTTTGCTGAGACTCTTGCTTGTCTCTTTCCTACTCTTCCTTTTTGGAATGGGAACAATGACCTATAGAATTTATTGTGGGCATATGTCATGTAGTCTTTGGATTATTGTAGAGGTTCTAAAAGTATTTCTTGCATCTCAGAGGAAAGTTTAGACTTGGATTTTTGACCAATTGAATAAGTTTTGGAGATCTAGTTCACAACATGGTGATAGTGGTTAATAATGTATTGTATACCTTAAAATTACCAAGATGGTGACTGATAAATATTCTCACTGCAAAGAAATGATAAAATGATAAAAGTGAATTAAGTACATTAACTTAACTATTTTGTAATACATAACTATATCAAAACATCACTTTGCATGTCATATGTATATTTGCTTTTTACTCATCAACTCTGAGAAAGTACATTTTAGTGTTTCGAGTGACAATGGTCTCAGTATTTTAAATAATGCTTATAATTACTTAATTTCAGAAGAAGGAATGTTTGAGCAATCACTTTACATTTATATTCTGTCAATAATGGGCCTATGTTTCTAATCTGGCTTCTCTTCATGGCTGCAATGAAAGCATAGGAAAAGAGGTCCTTTACTAAGAGCTGAAGAAGCAACAGCTGTGTGCTGGACAGGTGTGGGCCAGCAGCAAGGCCATGGAGCTGTCCAGGTGATGTTAAAAATTCACAGGACATCAGCATCAGAAAAGGTCACTAAGATACAGTCAAACTAGAGCAAACCAGTCCATGGATGAATCCAGTCACAGACAACATTAATGTCACCCAGTCCCAGACAGGATTGAGCTCCTCTTTCCCAGTTGATCAGAGCAAATGTTGTGTTTCTTACAGTCAGAGCTCAACAAGCCTTTGCCCTCCCTCTGCCCTTCCTTTGCCCTTCTTCTGCCTGAAGGAAACTCAGACCACCTCCCTATACCACTCACAAGGTGGCGGGGAAAACTCCATTCAGCATATGACTCAACAGACTCCCAATGCAGTCCTTTTCAGGACACTGCCCTGAACTTCATGCAGTAATTTGTGTGACTTGTGCTCTCATGTTTTGAGTTTCCATCATGTGACAGGAGAAGCATTTACTCTCTTGCTGTTCATTAGATACTTAACGAAAACTTGAGTTAAACAGTATGTAGAACATTTTCAACAGTAACACACAGTTCTTGTAAAATCAAAAGAAAATCTAAAACATGAAACAAAGAAATGTGATATATTTGCATTGGTCACATGGGAGTAAGGAATTGTGGCAAGAGTGAAAATGAGAAGGCAGGGAAAGGAAAAGGAGAAAATAATAAGGAAGGGAGAACTGGGGATGGAGAGGCTGATAGCTGATCTGCCATATCAGAAATGTCCTGACGAATGCTTGCAGAGGAGACAGGAGGCACGCTGTCCTGGAGCCACTAGCACTTCAGAAAGGAGAACACCTTCTTCATCCCTGTCTGCATCTCTTTGTTCCGGAAGCTATACACAATGGGATTCAATGTGGGTGTCACCAGAGTGTATAGCGCAGCCACCACCTTGTCCCTTTCAAATGTGTAGCTGGAAGCATGGCGGATATAGGTGTAGATAACAGGGGAATAGTACAGGGACACCACTATGAGGTGGGAGGAGCAGGTTGAGAAGGCTTTCTTTTTACCTTCTGCTGTGCGGATGCGGAGAATGGCAGCAATGATAAACCCATAGGAGATGCACGTGAGGGTGAAGTCTCCTATGGCCAGAGTGATATCTGCCACACACACCATCACTTCATTGACTCTCACAGGGCTGCAGGACAGAGCCAGCAGTGGGGGTATCTCGCAGAAGAAGTGGTCAATGGTGTTCGGCCCGCAGAAATTTAGCCTCAGAATAAGACCTGTGTGCACCCAGGAATTGGTGACTGCAATAGCCATGACAATGCTGAGCAAGGCCACACACATGTAGGGGTTCATGATGGTGCTATAGTGAAGGGGGAAGCAGATGGCCACGTAGCGGTCATAGGCCATGGTGGTGAAAAGAACCATCTCAGCTCCCAGAGACCATGTGAAGAAGAAGAGCTGGGACATGCAGCCCACATAGGAGATGGTCTTTTGAGCTGTCAGCATGGCCCACAGCATCTTGGGTATTATGGTTGTGGTGCAGACAATATCCACAATGGCCAGGGCCAGCAGGAAAACATACATGGGGGTGTGCAAGGTGGTGTTGCAGATGATGGCCACCACAATGAGCGCATTGCCCAGGAACGCCGCCAGGTAGATGAAGAGGAACACAAAAAAGAAAACTCCCCGGAGTGTTGGGCTTCTGGTGAGGCCCAGAATCAGGAACTCAGAAACTACGCTGTGGTTCATCCTCTTGGAGTAATTAAATGGTGAACATTTCACAGAGGGAACCACCATGAAGTAATATAAACTGAGTGAGTGTGTGTGTGTGCATGTGTGTCTGTCTGTGTGTGTGACTATTTAGTGATTTGATACAACTTTGCAGCATAAATTCCCATAGAGTTCTGATTTCCAGGCCTTGATTCTCCACTCTTTGATGTGCATTCTTCCATGATGACTAGAATACATTGAAGATAGTGAGTGACAAGAAAAATATAGAAAATAAGCATTTTCAAAATAGTCCAATATTATTAAACTTGCCTAAGTAGAATTTGTTTTGCTATAGTCATATACCCAGCACAAATATAATAAAATTGCTATTCTAATAACTTATTTAGTTGCCTTATATATTTAGGTGTCTTTCTTGAGACATATATAAGAAGGAATATCTTGAGAAATGGAGTTACTAGTAGAATATAGTTAAATATGATGGAAAGATTTCAAGGGAAAAATGTCCACTATAATACTTTTGTGCTGCATATTTATGGAACCACTGGCAAATTCAATGCTCTCCGATACTAAAGGATGAATTAAATGTCTAGATAGGCATTATTTACTTTGGTTTGACAAATAGGTTGCTTAAATTGAGTGAGCCACTGGTTTTACTTTTATATTTTCCACCTTGGTGAAGGAATGGTGCAGCCACATTTACTTAGATCTCTGGCCCATGACAGTGAGGGGCTCTGTGCTAGATCTGCTACAGTTTGTTCTCAAACCATAGCAGGTCTTTAAAATGACTGTTTTGCACAGTTAATAAGGTAGCAATTCCAAAAGTGAGAGTAATATTAGCTAGGATTTCATGTCTTACCAGTAGACGAGCGGAGATGAATGCCTCTGTGCTCTGACTCCAAAGAAATCATCACTAACATCTTTTGCAAAATTCCACGCAAAATCCAAAGCAGTATAGTTAATGTACACAAAAACAATGATACGAGAGGTGTTTGAAAGAAGATGCATGTTTTCTTCCTACGAAAACATGTAGGAATGAAATAGGACTTTGAGTCAGAAAATATGGATCGGTAGTTGATATTTGAAAGTTGCTTCAAGTATTTGAATGTTTAAAAAAATCTGCCATACAAATTATATTAGCTCATCTTTAAAATACTAGGGCCAGGGATATAGCTCAGTAACATAAGCACCTGCCTGAGTTCAATTTCCAGTACCAATAAATAAATAAATACAATAATACTGAGAGCCGTACACGTGTTTAAGTGATATAAGAGATCCTGAGTTGGCACTGCATTTTGATCAGCGTTCTGGTATCAAAAGTTCTTAGGGTAAACCTACAAGATGGACAGTCCTTATGTTATTTTTTTTTATTTTGAAAGAATATTTTAAACCCATATTTATGTGAAGCATTATTTTCAATAGCCAAGGAATGAAATCAACTTAAATGGACAAGAAATTGGCACATGATATAATGCACAGATAGATTAAACAATGCTGGATACACATATTCAGGGGATTCTGTTCAGCCTTCAAGAGAAGTAAGCTCTTCTGTTTGTCATAGATGCAAAGAACAGGGGGACACTGTAAGGAGTAAAATAACCCAGGTACAAAAACCAAATGCTGTATGATATAATTTATATGTAGAATCTGAAGAAAAACTATTTTAGAGCATGAAGATGGTGATCTTGCAGTTTTAACCTGCCTTCCCCATGCATTCATCTGGGTTAAATGGAGAAGACAACAGTAATCACCTCTTTGAGTCGCTTTGAGGGCAAAACAATAAATAGGATTCATTATCCCAATTCTGGGAGCACATGGCGTGACCAGTTAAAGGTAGTGGTTTATTATTTAGAATTCCTAAACTAATATATTTTTTTTTAAAAATCCATATGATTTAGTATACAGTGTTTCATCATTCATGTTGAAGCAGTTTTTACTATTTAGTGGAAAAATTTAATACAGAAAGATATTGGAGAACATTGAATAAATGTAATAAAAATTAAACAGCTTTGATTTGGACAATAATATTTATTCAATTAACTCTAGTTATAATAAAGATGTCTTCATTCAACAAATACTTAAAGGTCACATTATGCACTAATCATTATGCTTTTTGCATTGGATGTTGATATAGAAAATGTAATACATGCTCCAAATTATCTCAGAATAATGGCAGAGCATTGAACAATCCACTAACTTGGTCCAAGAACATACAGGAGTTATCATGGTATTAAATAACTTTATACAGTGACCTATAAAACTTAATTTGGCTTTGGGATGGTGGGAAGATTGACGAAAATTGCAGGTATGACACCTGCAACCCCTCTGTCCTGGACTCAGTCCATGCCCAAGCTTCCTACCCAGGGCCCCCACATTCCCCTTTGTTGCTTGTGCTGTCTGTGCAGTTGCCATGGGCAGGTGCCTCTCTCTTTTCCTAGCTGCCTTGGTCCAGGCTGGATGCCAACAGCTTCCCAAGAGAACAACCATTTTTCCAACTAACTAAAATCCTATGCTGATGTTAGAAAGGAGAGATTCTAAAATAGTTTCTAAACATTACTAACAAAATAGTCACATAAATAAACTTTCTTCTAAACCCTAACTTGTGCTTTCTTTTTTGTGCCAAGAATGGAACCCAGGACAACTGAACCACACTCCTAGCACATTTGGAGTTACTTTATGTGATAGAAAAAATTAAGAAGTCAGGCAGGTAAGATAAATGCAACTATCATCAAATAGCTTTCCCTTGGTTTAAATTAAATTACCATTGATGGAAGGATTTTCTCTTGTGGTTGAATAAATGTTACTTGGTTCATATACATTCCTACTCGGGCTGTGATTGCACGGTAACCATGAAAAATAGATGATACTCACGCCAGCTCTTCAAAGAATATTTCCATGTACAAATGATGACTTGTGCTGAAAACTCAGTATCTGTGAGTATCTAAATACCATTTTCCTGCTGACTTAATATTGGTCCCTCTATATTGCTGTCAACCTAAAGCATAGTAAGAGGTCCTGACTCACAGGCAAGAGGTCACAGGGACTAGTGTCTCGGACTGTTTTGTCAGGAGCAGCAGTACAGTGGCTCTCAGAGGGTCAATTAAATTAAAACAATCTGCACACATTGCTAATTAAGGAGTAAAAAGATGTGGACTTGTGCGTCATCATTTCTCTGTGAAGGCCAAATGTGTCCCCAGACAGCCTCTCCATGGTGCAGGCGACCTAAATCACAGGAGACACTGAGGATGGGATGAGAGACTCCAGGACTGACACTGTTGTAGAAAGAATTAGGTCTGCCTGGGCCAATCACCCTCCCAACAGACCTAAGGAGAAGCAGGGCTGGGGACAAGGCTGTGCCAGACTCTGGGTCAGATCCCAGCTCTGGAATTAAAGCAAACAAAAATAAAAAGGAAATGGTAGAAAAAGCAATAGGCAAGTGGCAGAGGATGAATTCCAAGGTGGAGAGTAAAGAAAGAACCATAGCACCTCATTTATCCCTCAGCCCAGCAGGGGACAAAGATATACAAAGGAAGGGTGATGGTGGTATTTGGTTATGGCCTGGTGAACAAAACACAGCCTCTAGCTGGATTCTTTCAGAGTTGTTTGAGAAACCACTGTGTTCATCCTCCTGGTGTAGCTCATACAGACTCCTACAGCAGGCAGCCCACATCCTTCCCTTCTGCAGTGTACCTTACGTCTTGCAGTGTCCACTGGACAGGAGCGCACTGCCATTTTCACCGTATTAGGGAGTGTGGTCTTCTGTTGGTCTCAGGGAAAAGTTACAGGGGAGCACATGAGATCATTCTGAGGCCATATACATATATATATATATATATATATATATATATATAGGCTTTTTTATTTCAACATCATTATACATCTTAAGGCTATGATTTTTCTGTTCTTTATCTCCTCCTAAATTTACAATAATATTTGTGTGTTGAATGCTTCCTCTATTACTTTTGCTTCCCAGCCCTTTAATCTGAGCTCTTTGGAGCATGAAAATAACAGGTATATAAGAACTTATCCTTTTCAACCTCTGAATTGTTCTTACGATTAATTTTTCTTTCTCTGTCATTATTTTACATTGCTTTATCTTCAGCTTAGTAATGAGATATTTTCATATAAATGGTCTTTAACTCTAATCTACTGACCATTAATTTCAAGTATAATACATTATACTTCTGTAACTCTGTTATATTCTTTATTAATTTTGAACATATTTGTGTGCTATATATATATCAGTTGAATTCTAGAGTTTCTATGTTTTCATTTTTTCATGTGTTATGTGCATTTTCATCTCTTTTCTTTTTCGGTACCAGGAAGCCAACTCACAGCCTCCTGCTTGCCAGGCAGGTGCTTAAACCACTGGAATAAATCTCCAGCCCCCTCATCTTATTTTTTTTTTTTAACTTTACTAATCATGACTGTGGTGGGTTGAAAACTGGTGGGCAACTTAGTCCAGCTGAACTGAGTCATCGTGGTGCTGGGTGTTGGGTGTGGAGGGCCTACTTGAGGATCATTGTCTACATAAAAAGGAAACCTGGAGAGGAAAAAGTGGTGTTTCTGGTGCTCCTGTTGCTGGGGTTCTCTGGGAGGAGCTGTGGAGCTTCTTTCCTGATATGAACTCAGCTGTTCTCATAGTCAGAGGAGCTCAGGATCTTGTTGTACTAAGGATCCTGTCGTTCACTTAGGGAAGCTCTGGTCTTACTTGAGCTTTGCTTCCTGGTTCCAGAGGGAGGTTCCAACACCAATTTATTTTTCTTTCATACTATACTTGTTATAGTTTTCAAGAAATCAATGGATACTACATTAACTATGAACATCACCCTGTGCAATTTTTGATTACCTTATGTTTCCTCTGCAATTAACAGTTTACTACATTACAAAAATCCCTTTGACCCTTCATCCTATTCCACAAGTGCTCCAGATACTCGTAACACCATTTTATTTTTTCTTTGAGTGTGTCATTTTTATATTTCACATGTAAATGAGCTTCTACAGAATTTGCTGTCATGTGC